TTCCCTCTTCTCTCTCCTGGTAATTTCCTGTACTTTTTTTTACTCTATTACTAGCTCGCACCTTAACTTCCATATCTTTCATTTCTCTTGCCAGAAATGTGTTGTGTCTGCTTTTATTGCTGTCTTAGCAGCCTTCTTATCACCTGTGATTTCCTCTGCTGTCTTTCTCATCTTGTGTGTGATGACTCCTCTGATGATATTGATCCATCTTACTTTATTAACTCTGTATGCATTAAATACATCTATTACGTACATACATTATTATTTGTAATGATAAAAGATTCTCATTTTTGTTCGGTTTAACTATTTAAACAGATGATGATAGGGGATTTAGGTTGTGTGAACTAATGGGCCGCAAAAAAGATCTTACGATGCAAGAGTGCTACACGATAAAAGCCCTCAAGAAGAAAGGCATCTCTTCTGCTGAAATTGCACGGACAATTGGACGATCCGCGACAGCAGTTAAAAATTGTATTAAGCGGTTGAAATCCACCGAATCTACCCACTACTTAAAGAGGAAGAATAGTGGCCGAAAATCGATTATCGATGAGCGTCTTGAACGCCGGATTTATCGTGAAATTAAAACAGATCCAGTGTTAGGGAAAATGCCAAAACGTTTACTTACCGCCGAAATCTCACGCAGGATTCAAGTATCAATGTCCTCGCGTACCCTGATGAGAAACTTTAAACAAAATAATGCTAAGTCTTATGTTTATAAGAGAAACCAGTAATTCAAGAGTGACATAAATCCGCAAAAGTAAACTTGTAAGCAAGAGATTTTAAAATTACAATAACGGAATAGTCACTTCAGTCCCCGGACCTTAATCCTATTGAAAATATTTGGAGAAAAATTAAATCGAGTTTGTAAAAACCATAAATTTCGAACAGAGGAAGTATTGTAAACACTGTGCGTTGAAAAAGTTGTTAGGCGTAACGGGAAATACGAGAATTTGTTCATAAATTAGAGGAAGAGAGTATGTGAAATGGAAATTTTAAGTTAATTATAGTGAAAGTTTAAATTAAATTTGCCGCAGTCTCGATAGCATTTACGTCCGAGTTGAACCTAAATTTTTTTTTCCATGATTACATCTTTATGATGACTTCTCTCCTTGCACTTGCTATTGGATTAGGACTTGGCGATTGCGGTAGTTAAGTTTACACTTCCTATTGTCTTAATCTATTGGATAAAAAACGCGTGAAACATTCAGTCATTGGTCTGGCCTTATTCTATGGTAGCCTTTGTCAATTATTGGCCGGCATGCGGGAATTCGGAGTGGGCAATCACATTTGACGCTACAGTTTTTTCTTCCTATGTTGATTCACGGGCTCAGTGCCACCGCGTCACAGCGCCTTATTCTAGCCAAGACTTGGATCACACATTGGGTATTTTTACCTTGCCGGTAAAATTTGATCGCTTGTATTCTTATGTAGTTACTTCATATTGATATTAGTCACTTTCCGCTCAGACGCTGGCATAGCTGCCTTGTTTTTCTTTTTGGGACTAACTTTCCTACTTCTTACCATCTGCAAATTTATCCCTGCTGCGACACCCGTAAACAGTTCCACCAAAGCTGGTGGTATCTTTGGTATCATTACTTTTTGTATCGCTTGGTACAATGTTTTTTCTGGTCTCCTTGTTTGATTTGAGCATACGTTAAGAATTCATATCGATTGTATATTACTGTAATAAAGTTGTTATTCGCGCAATCAACTGACAAGAGAGGTAAATAATAACTTTGATATCACAAGAATGCTCTCTGTCCGATCAATTTGGCGAAATCCGAGTTGCATATGTTCCCTCTCCAATTTTTTTTCCTTGAGGTATTTCCTCTCGATCTGAAGTTCTTCCTCCTCCGGTCTGCGCAATATAGACACGTGGTCAAGCAAACCAGTTCTGGTTTAAAATCATAAGTTTAAAACTGAAAACTGCTAGACGATTCATCTTTTTCTTTTACTGTACATGGGGAAATCAATAAGAATAATTTATTTTCCGTATCTTTTCACCTTATTCCCTCTCCGTACTTGTGTTTATAAAAAAAAAAAGAAATGCACAATCTTGAATTTCAAAGTTTAAATGCCATAATTTGCTACATGATGTAAAGTACGTACAGTATGTTGCCTTAATTTTAGAACATTATCATGTTCTTAGGCATTTCTTATAATTTCTAATATAAATTTCTAATATCAAAGTATTTATTTACTGTAACTTTGACCGATACAGTAAATGCGATTCTTATTATAAAATGTCAACAAACGCTTAACTCAAAACTGAGTTCAAACCTCGTTAATTTTTAATTCTTACCTTTAACTCGGCACAAGTTCTCATGACCTTTTCGTGATATTTTATGGATTCATTCATATTTACAAGCTCTACTTTAAATATAACATGAATAATGTAACTTTGAATTCTAACATTGCTAGATTTCTTCCCGGCCAGAGAGGCCACAAAATATTAAAAGAGAACGAAAACTTGTTAAGGTGTCAAGGTAATAATATGCGTTTGCACCTTTTTTCACCTGAACCGAACGTGAAAATGGTTTTTGCCTTCTGGGCTTGACTTTAAAAATCAATCTTGATTAAAAATTTCAGGATTAAACAATATGGACTTATGCGTGTAAAGAGCTAAAGAGCTTGTCAAAAAATAATGTATTATTAGCTAGGAACATTACACCATTAGTCTCTCTATCTCGTTTTGAAGAAAGTGTGATAATAGAGAATAATATTTTTGCTATAAATAAATGATAACAATTATGGGCAATTTAAAAGCAAATATTAAATGTTGGAAGAAAAAAACACCTTGACAACAATCTTCCTAATATCGGAATTTCTTCCGACGATCGTTTCAACCTCTTTGTTTAGACAATAACACATACCACTTGATCCCTTATCAATTCTGCCTAGTTCTTCATTCTTGTTATCGGCAATTCTTTCAGCAACGTCATGTGGGATGTTAATCGAATCGTTAAGAATATGGTTAATACTGTATGTCTAGAACACGTGGTTGCCCTTCAGGTGTTGCTTCGATTTCTGCTCGTCTAGCTTCAAACTGTTTCAAAAGTAACCTCTATAACCAAATATAGTTCTTCTTATACTTCTCAGTGTGTAACTTAAGTTACGCATACACGTAGGAAAGAATGATGTGTTTCGTCTAAATTATTATTAAAAGACACCTATGAACAATCTATTTTACTCTATCAATAACTTTTTATAATAATTGGCTAAAGCATGCATTACAGTAGTGACCTTAATCGTTCCCATAAAACATCCTCTCATTATTCTATGACGATTTCCTAACGCAGATCATGCTTTTGCGAAAATCTTTCGATACCGTCATTTATCGTAGCTAATATTAAAAACAAGCCCGGAATTAAGGTATCCTAATTCCTATAATTCATTAATTTTATCCGTATGTTTATGAAAATTACTGTGACTTGACGGACTCTAAATTTCTTTTCCAATTTATCATTACAGTAAATAAACAAATATAACGTTCATTTCTATTAAGAATTCGAAGAAATCACCATATTTTGCTTCACTGACTGTGCCAATCGTTAAAATAACAAAAATGGGATTTCCAACGAATGGTAGAGAGGCAGAGGGATTCTTGCGGGTAAGATATTTGTAATAGAAATAGGCGACGTGAGTTATTAGTCTTGATATAATAACTGAGAAACTTGATCCGCATTATAGGTTAAAGTACCTATCCCGGGCATATATTTTCGCCGCCGACTATTTATGTTTGTGACCGACTAGAGTTTTGATTGTAAATTCAGATACATTATTAAAAAAAATCTATCGTCATGAAATCAAGGAAATTTGTTAATCTGTACTGGCCTGTCTGAAAGCTATAAAAAATAATGTCAGGCCCCTTGATCTTGCCGTGAATCAAATTTCATCGTAAGTAAAATATAGAATTCAAGTACTTGTAGATTGTTGCTGAAAGTGGGATACTCGAAGAAAAAATACCCGACAATCACAATAAAATAGTGATATAAAGAGGTTTCGAAAAAGCTTTCTATTTCAGGTAAAATCATTAATTGTACATATTACTAAAATTGGTTGAATTCGTCACGATAAACGTCATTGGAATAAAATGGCAAAATATCACCTATCTTATAATGGTCAAACGAATAAAATACGCTTTTGGATTTTCAAAAAGCAGTAATTTTATTGACTAGAATGAACCTGTTTGATTGTGAATTTACAATTTCTAAAAAAAGAAAGTACGTGATGTCAGTCCTCCATATGAAGGAAATTAAATAAGTGAATTTCTGGAATTCATGCATACCTATTTTATTCAGCCTTGATGGGCTAATTTATGCATACTATTGAGCGCGAGAACCTTCGAAGTTGAGTTGTTCCTTATACTGTGTAATTACAAAACCATTTTTTTTTCTAAAAGTCAATCTCGCGAATATGTCTCTAAATTATTTTGTTTACTATAGCATAAATAATATAATTTATAATAAAATTAAAAAATTATTGAATTTTATATATTTTTAAAACTTGGTTTTTTCTTATATTTCTCTTTAAAAAACTTTACTCATTTTTTAATTTGAAATAAATTAAATAAACAACTGAATTTATTAATTTGATACCGTGAAAGAATGCATAAATGATCGCGTTTTCCCTTCGCGACGCTCATATACTGTAATAAGTCACAACCAATTTTAGTGCATTACTTTCGTACAATAGAAATAATGACTTGTTCCGCGGTATGATCGAGGCACTTTCAAAACGGCCAGTATTGGTTAACACATTTCGTTTTTATTGCGACATATCTAGTGCGAAAATGATAACTTTAATGAGTAACGATTGCCAAAATTTTTGAAAGATGGTCTCTTCCTGTACTTAGGCGACGGAGTTATAAATTGTCTCGCATCGGACTTGCTTTCATATTTACTTGTAATCTTAATTTTCTGATTACAGTAATACGAAAATCTTCGAGAAATATGGAGTTAATTGACCACACAACTTTACGCGAATTATTATCATTCGTGATGGCGGGACTTATAACTTACGTCACCTACTTCTACTACAAATATTTTACCCGTGAAAATCCTCTACCCGGACCTGTGCCGCTACCATTTGTTGGAAATTCCATTTTTTATTTTATTGATCTTATTGACGCGGTCAGTAAACTACAAGCAAAATATGGCGATTTCTTCGAATTCTACATGGGAGGTGAACGCCATATCTGTTTACTTAATGAAGACTTGGTAAAGGAAATGACGAAACCGACACTCAACGGCAACTTTTTTCGACGTGGGAACGGAAACGGTGGAACAAAGGAATTGGGACACGATAACTTCGGGATTGGTCTTAATGAAAATTATTATAAATGGAGGTATAATCGAAAATTCTTCTCGAAAACCATTCTTTCGCCACTATTTTGCAGGCAAGCATTGACTTGCGTGCAAGCCGGATTTGAGGAGATGAGCGGATATTGGGATCTACTAGGAGAGGAGGCTATCATAAATTTCCCCGAATGGATAAAAAGATATTTCATGGAAACCCTCACGATCATTATTAGTAATAAGCCACTTCATGCTTTATCCAATTTTCATAAAAAGTTGTCTAATAAGGAGATTAGTAGAGAGTCTGCCGAAAGTGAAGAGTTGGTAGATACTATTCGATTTATAAACGAAATACTACATTGGTTCGTATTCATGCCTGCATATGTTCGCAACTTTCCTGGAATTAATTTACGCACCAAGAAGTATAAGGAAAGATATTTTCATTTAAAGAATATGATCCATAAGACGGTTAAAGCTAGACGAGCGGAAATCGAAGCAACACCCAAAATCAACCACTTGTTCCAGATATGTTAACTATGTTCTTAACAGTTAATACTCCGCGTGATATTACCGAAAGAATTGCCGACGATCAAAATGATAAACCGATGACCGACGAAGAAGTTGTCGGGAATTATTTTGACGTTCTGATAGGCGGAGTTGATAACGGAGCAAATGCTATGTGTTTCTTAGTTTATTACCTAACTCAATATCCTAAAGTTAAACGAAGGTTACTAAAAGAGATTGATACGGTTGTCGGAAGAAATTCCAATATTAAAATAACCATGAACATTATCAATAAACTTGAATACACAGAAGCTTATATTAAAGAAGGTAATTTTAACAAGATTTATTATTTACTTCTTTACATCTTATAACCATTATCATTTATTATAGTAAACAGATTATTCCTTATTATCCCCATTATGAGAAAACCAAACAGAGATCCTGTTGAAATTGGTGGCGTAACATTCCCGTCCAATACAATATTTTTCTCTAGTTCTTTTGCTCTTCACACGCATAAATCACACTGGTCCAATCCCGAAGAATTTAATCCTGATCGATTTTTAAGGTCGAGTCCAGAGAGCAAAAATCCTTTCTACATGTTCGGCTCAGGCGAACGAAAGTGTATGTACATGCTGTATTATTACCTTAGTATCTCGACAGGTTTTCATTCTCTTCTAATCCTTTCATAATTTCTCCCAGGTCCCGGAAGAAATCTAGCAATGTTAGAACTCAAGGCTTCATTACTTATGCTGTATTTAAAATATGATGTAGAGCTCGTGGCACCTATTAAGTTTAGCGGAAAGGCCGTAAGGAATTGTACAGAGTTAAAATTAAGAATTAAAAAACGACGAGATTTGAGCTTGGTTGATTGTTAGGAGTTATTACTATTTCACAGCAAATGATCTGAGCAATTGGTCGGTTTAATGATATTTATTATGTACTAATGATTACCAAATAATGCTTTCGGCCTTATCAATATACTGTATTTTACAATAATACCTATTATTGCATCATATTAAAACTAGTTTATAGGCGTGGGTTTAATGGTATTGGATTTTTACAGTACTGTATATTTAAATTAACTTATATTAAATTAATTTATTTTAAACAGCTTATAGATCTGAACTAAGCTTTAGGGTTAGTTGATGGGTTTATATATACAGTATATATTGTATATATTATAAAAATTTTTTTTTATATTTAAACCGCAACTAGGTATTAGATGTAAGACTTTTATTAATATTAAATTACAACTATTACATCAATCATCTCATATATACTATATATTTCTATATATAGGCAGATTAATGATAATATATTGTGATTAATCTATTTAAACCAGCTTGTACTTCAAGAGTAAATAGATTTAACTAGAGACCAAATAATTGAATACTCAATTATTTGTAGTGAATTCTGATTGGTGAATATTGAATTTCAAATTCTTATTGTTTTGTCAAGCTAATTCAACTACATATATATTTAATGGGTTTTATGCATCTTTAATATATTCAGATATTATTTACTTAGATCTTGAAAGAGGGTACATTACTTTTATTGTTACCATCTATAATATCAGATCAATTTTGTTTAATCAACTTTTATTTAAGCAAAATATTAAATAAGAATATCTGAAGCTAAAAAAATAGATTTTTGAAAGTTTTTCTTTATACAATCCTTTTGATAATATAAACATAATCTTACTTTTGATTGATAAAAAGTCAAAAGTCCTATTTTCATATAATCCAACTTTGTTTGATAAATCTAGATAATTGGATATAACTTTTATAAGATATTTGATAAATTCAATTAGATAAGAAATTTATGATTTAATTCTTAATTAATATAAAACTACAAATCTTGTGATTATAACCTGAGAGTATTACTATTATGCCATTGACTTACAAGTCTTATATATTATTATTTTTTTTTTTATAATTTTTTTTATTAAAAATATTTTTATATACATAATATATATACTGTATATATATATTTTTTTTTTCATTATGCTAGCTCATTATTACGCCAGCATTGACGCTTTATTAATTACTAAGATAGATTCTAGAACAACCGGGATGAGTAATTACTCGTACTATCTAAGGATTTACAGATCAACGAATAGTACAAGAGGCATCTATTTACGTCTCACCCAATCAAGATAGGGGAACTATGTGACCATCTAGTATAGGATTTTTTTTTAATTCTTAACAAAGTCAGAGGGATAAGGGGGGTGTTTTAACCAACCAATTTAATGGGATACCGTCCACTTGTGTTACCTCTTCCTAGTCAAAGTGACACTTCCTAGAACCTTGATCCACCGGATAACTTGTTGCTATCCCCATTTATAGAGGAAGCTAACGTGTCAAGAACTTGCCTAAGATACCCAGTACCACTGGTATTGGAGATTTCTTATACAGGATCCTTATGACTCCTGTTAGTGCATGAATTTCGTGGAATTCGCCTTCTTTATCAACCCATTTTTGCCTCTTTTAGGGCCTGTCTTGTTTCTTGAAATGTCAGAACACCTTTTTGACTACCCAACTTAGCCACTCGAAAGGGGAACGATGTGTATCAAGGATATTGTACCACTTCAGCCTTGCCTTATGGAAACTGGTCTTGTCTTGATATAGGCATGGTAAGCGGATGATCCCTTGATTTTATAGCCATGTTGGGGTACCTGATCTGCATCATGGAGTAGATGCAATCTTCATACTACTGCTGGCTTTTAATTTTCACTTGGTTCTTATGTGGTATTGAACTCTGGACCTTGTGATTATGACCTGGGAGTACTACCACTGTGCTATAGACCCACAGTTACATAATATATATTTTTTATTTATATAATATATTCATTTTTCATTATAATTTTAATATTATTTTTATTGAATTTTTAATAAAGTTATAAATAATAGTTTATAAATAAAAATTAATTTGAATAAATATATTTTCATATTTAATTGTTTAATTTAATATATTACTAATAATTATTTGAAAAAACAATTCAATGAAAAATTATTTTTTTATTATAAACTCTTTCTATAATTTTTTAATTATACGTAAAAAAATATTTGTAAGAATTTTTTATATTTTTTTGCTAATTAAGTTTTAATACTTTTTTTAAAACAACTTGAAGTATAATTTTAAAAGTCATTTTTATTTTTTTCTATTGTTTACAAGTCTTTTTACTTAAAAACTTAACTTTTAATGATCAAGAAAAATCAAGTAATATTTTTAATATTAAATAAAAAAAGATTTTAAAGAAAAAAAAATTAATTATAAAGTATTTAAAAAATTTTCTAACTTTTAAAGTAGAATATTTATAGAGATTTTTTTATAGTAAAAAGATACATTTTTTCTTTTTTTGATTATTTAAGTTTTCTTAAAACTTTTATTTTTATAATTTTTTATAAAATTTTATCTATTTCGATTTAATCTTAAATTTGGAATAATATAAATCCTTATTAAAAATAATTTGTTAATATAAAATATATTAGTTTTTAAAATATAAGCAAGTTTTTGTGGATTTTTTTTTTTAACCCTCTGTCATACTAGTTATGTGTGCTTTATTAAACATTTATAAACTGTACATATAACATGAATCGCTAAAGCTAAAAAATGCTAACTAGTTCACTTGTCTTTGTAATTACTACTCTAAGGACAACTTTGGGAGTGATCTATCGCTCCATTAGGAGTTCAGGTGAAAACCCTTCCAACTCTTAATATCATTGCCTGCAGGTCACTATTGCAGATCACTCTTTAAGTTCTGACATTACTCAAAACCCAACCATCTCATCTTAAATCTAATCCCTTTTAATAAGATATTTTTTAGTTCTTTATCTTTTAATCTTCCTTCTTCCAATATTAAAGTTTTCCTTTCCAGCTATATAGTTTTGATATCTGGAAGGTTAGGGGGTCTTTTTATCTTATTCTTCTTTTGGATTCCTTGTAATCATTCCCATTTTATCATCCTTTCACATTTTGCATTTCAAACCTTTTTCTGGAACTGGTTACAAGTTGTACTTTGCAGCTTCTTAATCCATCTTCTTGCTTCTTTTTTAATTCTTTTACCATGGCATTTAAGATCTGCTATCTCGAGAATAAGTTCACTTCTTATTAATTTTACAAAGAAACTTAGCATATCCTAATAGGTTGCTGAGAACTGTTCTACTAGTCTGGATGTTCACTTGTGTACTTCATTCATTTTTTCACTATTATATACTATTAATCTAGGATTCTTCTCTTCTGCTTCCTTTTTCCTTTCCTGTAAAAGTTTTCTGAAATTCATCAGAACTCCTTGAAGATCTTTATTCCATATCTTCTTCATCTATTCCTTATATGCTTGACATTCTAGCAAATGATTAATTGTTTCTTTCTCCTAAAGATCACATGCAATACATTTCACTTGCTTGTATAGGTCTGGCCTTCTTATTGTCAGTTTACTCAATGTTAGTAGCTTGCCATTCATTAGTTTGATCAGAAAGATTTTTCTTTGACAATCTATGAAAGATGTATTCCACGTATGACTATTCATTCTCTTCCATACTAGATCCCATGTATGGCCTTGTTGTTCTTGAATTTAGTGGCTCCATTTCCTTTTCATTCTGTTTTATAATATCCACTGATATACTGTAGTCTTGTTATTTATTTTCTTGATGAATTGTCTTATAGAATCATCTAAAGTTTTGTTCTACCACTTGATTTCCATAGGGATTTTGTATGAGATGAGATTTTTCCATTTTATTGCTAGAAGTTTAAGCACGTCTTTGGCTAGAGCATCTGCTTTATCATTATAGGAGTCTTGAAAATATGCCTTAATCTTGATAAGCTTTAGATCTAGATCTTTTTTCTTGACCAGCTCTACTATTCGTATCCATAATGACCAGTTTTTATCTTTTAACCATCTTTATGTATTCTTTTTGGATTATCTTTCTTAACTATTTTTCACTTTGAGATACAGGCTTGACTATCTGTAGAGATTTCAATTGAGCTATCTACTGGAACTACTAGGAGTATTGTGACTATTGCTATTAGTTCT